TTGATGTGTTGGTTTTAATTCTTGTTTGATTAATGGTTAAATGTAGGGGTGGGCAAAAAAAGCATGACCCGAGCACCTGACCTGATCTAACAAAAAATCGGGTCGGATTGAGTCCTCAAACGGTTCGAGTTGGCATTGGGTTGTATACTTGTACTGATGCCAACCTAATTTGGTTGGGTCAGGTGTCGTGTTGACTAAAAAACCAAAAAACACGACCCGACCCAAATATGTTTCGAAAAAAGAAAAAGTTTTTCCCATGAGTCAAAATATGAGTGGATCTTTTTAATGAGCTCACACTTCTATAATAATCTTGTCTACACAAAATAATCCATTAGAAAAACAAAAAAATCATTTCCCTCCTCATCACAAGACTCAAAACTCTCTCAAGTCTCAACTTTCATCTAATTCATTTGAACCGCCGGCTACCCCTAACTCGCCTTCACGCCGGCCCATGATTTGTGGCAACAAGGACACTATAACTCTGGTAAGTATTATTTTATGTTTTTTTAGTTTGTTAATTTTAGTTTGAATTCGGATGATAATAAAAAAAAATTGCATTTTAAAATTATTTATATGTTTGGTTTACTATTTAGAATACTTTCTTATCCAATCCTATATAAAATACATATTTGTTTCAATATTCTCAAAATCTAATCATATTCTATTCAACTAAAAATATTTAGACTTTGTTAACCCCATAGGTTTGTTAATTTAACTAAATACCCATAATAATTAAAGTTTATAAATTGACAAAAATACCTCTACCTACCCACATATTCCTGGCAGCCAACCACCATCATCGAAAGTTGGCCAAATCTGTCAAAATGGCGCAAGATCGATTGGATGTGGTGGTCGTGTGTCGATCTAACATTTTCTGGCCAGATCTACTATGGATCTTACCGAAAAAGGCTAGATCAACGACCAAAGATTTGACCATTGATGACTAGATTTGACCACATCTAGTAGTCAATGACGGTTATATCTTGGCCATCATTGAGGGCCAAGCAACAGCCAAGATATGATCGTCGTCAATGGCCAAATCTTTGGCCGTAGATCTGGCCACTTCCAGTCACTGTTCGACGGTAGTGGCCGATTACTGACATTTAATGAGTGGGTGAGAATGTTTTTGTTAATTTTAAAACTTTCATTGTAGGAGGTGTTTGGCTAAATTAACAAATGTATGGGATTAAAAATTAATCTAAATGTTTTCAGAAAATGTTTTCAAAAAATTTACCAAACACATTTTCAAATTCAAATCATATTCTTGTAATAACAACTCAATTCAACTTTTTCAAAAATACTGTTCTAAATACTCTAACAAACACAGTCAAAAGCTTTAGGTTTGGATACCTGGAATAAATCATGCACACCTTACATCACAAAAAATGTAAAAGTTAATATTGAATCCAAGTGATAATGCCTTCCTCTTCCAATGTGGTACCATGATTTTTGTCTGCAATAGGCATTGAGCTCATACTCCAAGCTTGAAAGCATTCGTAATGTTTAGTTTTATGTTTTTGTTTTATAGGAATAGGGTGATGCAAGAGAGAATCCTCTAAAGTCCTCGAGTTTTGTTGGACCAACCCTCTCTGTCCACTTTGGTTTCTTCCCATTTACTTGGGCTTACATTCACTGGTGAGAGTATAAAGATAAATATTTTGAGACAATGGCCTCCTTGCTGTAAAACCTTCCCTCTAGTCTTTTAACATAAATCCATTGTTGATCTTTTTAAATTTATCTACCTTCTGTCACTTCCTTGTTATAAAAGTTACATTGATTTTTTTTGTTTTAAATGCAAATTTTATAACTTTAAATGGTTACTTTATTAATTTCCAATTTTTCTTTGGAACAAACCACGGAGAAAAAAAAAAAAAACATAGTTGTGAATCATCTGTGAATTGCATAATTGGTTTGAGTATGACAAAAGAATTCAAACTTGCTTATTTAGAAATATTTAACAAAATGAATGATTTGTGAATTGTGATTATTAGAATAATGTAGATACTATAAATTAAAAATAATAATTTTTTTAAAGTCATGATCTTTTAAGAGAAAATAAATAAGATGATATAAATGCATTTGGGTGGTTTTAGCACTTTAGGCCGAATAACTAAAATAATAAGGCAGATTTAGATTGGCTTAAAATTACATACTTTAGTTCAGAAAAAAAAAAAAAAAACCCAACCCAATTTCACCAAATTAACTTGACCAACATGATTTTGTCGATTTAGATTGGGTTACTAATAATGCCAGTTAAGTTATAATTTAATCTTTTCGACTCGAAACCGTATCGGATTAAGTAGGATCGGGTTAAACCCGATCCAAACCTTTTAAAATGTGTTTGTGGTAAAAGAACCAATAACCTTTTAACTTCAAACGTTTATGACGACTTTGATTTGTGATGTAAATCAAATGATTTTTGAAAAATAAAAAATATCATTCGAATTAAAAAATAATCCTGAAATGTGAAGCAGAGCGAAAAGCAGCCTCCGTTATTTGAAGTAAATGTGCAAGCTATGTAAGTGTAACTAATCGAGATGCTCCACATCGTTAAATAGTTTGCGTACAATTAGAAACATCCAAAACGACAACACTGTAAAACGTAATTAATAATGACAGAATGGTTTTGTACCACATGCCCAATTAATTTAATTATATTTACTCTTGTGTCACTGTCAATGATAGTGATTAATTATGCCCAAATTATCAGCCGTCTTGCCCCCTCTCCCGGGGCTCTCTTTAAATTTTGACTACGAAATGCCTCCATCCAAATTTATTAATCTCACCCAATTCCTTCATTTTCATTAGTTTTTCTTTTTCAAGCCTTTTACATGAAGAAATTTTTTAGTCAAATTCATATATCAAACATATCTTTATTTATCAAATGAGGATACAATATAATTAATATTTGATGGGTACAGTTATATAGTTGATGCTATAATTAGTAATAAGTAATGTAGTTAGGAGTCTCTGTTTCAATAAATTATTAATGGATAGATGTGAAAATTATTTGAGTTGATTTGATGATGGGGTTAGTTTATATAATTTATGGATATCAATTCAAGTTGTCCAACACTTAACTCTTCAACCAACATAATAAAATTCATTTAAGCCTTAGTGTGTATCCTAAGTTACATAATCCATTAATAAAATAAAATAAATTTTAATTATATATATATTTTTTAATAAATAAGGGAATTTTGGGGAAAGCAGATAGAGCGTGTTGATTGATTTTCAATTGTTATCCAAAAGGTTGAGGCGAATACGACACTGCCTTGACAGTTATGGAATTATTTATATCAAATAGATAAATGTATAAATCAACTTGTCACGAGTCACGACTCATGACATGAGTTGTAATTATATTACAATCTATTTAATTAATAGTTGAAAAGAAAGCTATTGGCTTACCCAACTGAAGGGGTAAGCAATAACCCTAATAATTAATTCAAAATTAATTTTAATTAAGTTGTAGGGTGCATGCATCTGGTAATAATAAAAACTCTCTTTAATTCCATAAAGTCATATATTTAAGTAGGGATTTAAATTACTGCAATGGAATGAGATATGTCAGACTTTTATTTTAATTTTTTTTTTTTTTTTTGGGTCATCAAGAGTATCCGATCAGTTTACGTGCATCGTAATTATTGAAGATTGTGTATAACCTTGAATAATGAAGAAACAGAATACAATTCTAACCATGGCATTATGCAATAAAGGAAAAATAATTTCCCATCATCCATAATTTTTTTAAATTAATAGATGGGTTCAAAAATTAAAAACAAAATTTAAGAGAAATACTATATATTTTGAATATGAGATTAAACAAATCTTATTATTACGAAAAGCAAGTATTAATGTTCGAAATTATGAAGGTGACCTTTTAATGCTAAAATTGGCTATTTGAACTTGAGTGTTAATTGGGAGTATAATACGAGTAAATGACTTTTTTTTTCACCTAAATAGTGGTTTAATGACCCTTTTTTACACACATATTTTTAAAATACCATTTTATTATTCAAATTTATATTCTGTTTCCGATTCCGACATTATTGCAACCCCACACTACCGCCATTCTCTTCCTCGATCATCACTCACCAAAATTTTTCAAACCATATTTCCGTCAACCCCGTTAATCGAGTGATTAGAGTTTGCTCAACCGCCTCTCTTAAATCAAATTTTGATCAATCTTAACCCTCAAATTCTACCTTTTTACCACCAAAAGACTAATCAGCCTCCCATCTTCGAAATCCCCAACAACCTACACTGAGTTTGCTTTCTATTTGTCATCGAAATATAAATTTAGACAGTAAAGCGATATTTTAAAATTCTATGAGTGAAAAAATGTCATTAAATCATTATTTGAGTGGAAAAAAGTCGTTAACTCGTATAATACTGTTTAATTGAAATTATTGTTCACTATTTTTTAACTTTTTTGAGACTGTGTTATATTTATGAGCAATACTAGTCTTACAAAGACAAAAATAAAGAGGGCATACAAAGATAATTTTTACTCTTATCTTCATGATTTTTCTCTCTCTCTCTCCCTCTTTCTTCGTTTTTTCTTTGTTTTTTTCTTCTTGCTGATATCATTTTGTAACTCTCTTTGTATTGTCTTTATAAGGATAATATTTTAGTATATTTATATATAATACTGTACGTTGGGGACAAGATAATTCGGTGACAACTATTTTCACAACTCATCATTTCATCAGCTGTCCGAAAGGCAAGGGTGAATAATTTTAGATTTGCCTTAGTAATTACTTACTGTGTCTTGTATAAAAAAGGCAGAAAGCTAAAAAACAAAATGACTTCCCAGTCCCATCGAATCGGCCAAAGAAGACCAGAAACTAAGGAGAGAAGCAGAAGCCACAACCCCCTTTTCCTTTCCTGTCTATAGTCACCATCACCATCACCATCACCATCACCATCACCCCACTCACTCACTTCTCGCTTTTTACATTTCCATCACTTTTAAGCTCACAACACGTAACAAACAAACAATCTACTCAGTTACACTCTCTATCTTCTTCAAAACAAAGTCTTAAATGCTCTCACTCTGACTCTGCTCCTTTCTCTAACCTGTTTATTCTTACAGCTCACTTTCTCCATTCCGTTTCGTCTTCACACATTGCTTAGAACCCAATCTCTCTTTCTCTCTCTCTCCACGTCGTTTATTCAGGTATTAAGAAACATATTTCAAATTTTTTGTTAGATCTGATTTATTATTGTTTTTATTCGATACTGTGCATATGAAGCTGATTTATTTTATTTTTTTTCCGTGGCAGTTATGGTTGGTTTGATCAGATTAGGGTTCTAGTGAGAAACAAAGTGTTGAACGGTGCGTTTTGGAGGGTGAAATGGAGGGAAGAATGAAGAAGTATCGGCAAGTCAGTCCGGAGAGAGCTAAAGTGTGGACGGAGAAATCACCTAAGTATCATCAGTTAAGTCGGAAAGTGGCTGTTGTTTACTATCTATGTAGGAATCGTCAGCTTGAACATCCTCACTTCATTGAAGTTCCGTTATCGTCACCGGACGGTTTATACTTGAGAGGTACTGTGACTGATTGATTAGAGTTAGAGAGAGAAAACGTCGACGTTTGGATTTGTGTTTTAATTGTTTTTATTCTTGATTGGATTTTTTTTTTTTTTTGGTTGGCTGCAGATGTGATTGATAGGCTTAATGTTCTGAGAGGCAGAGGGATGGCTTCTATGTATTCGTGGTCTTGTAAAAGGTAAACTTACATTACCAATCAGCCATTTTATCTTCATTTATTTCTTTTCAAAACTGTTGTGGATGGCCTATTTGTTTTCAGAGAAAAGCATTGAAAAAGGACTAACAGAGCTGCTTAGTAAACACAAATTGGAAACTGGCTTGCCTGCATTAGTTAGTATCCTTGAAAATTTTGGTGTTTCTTAGGAGTTAACAGCTGGAAATATAAGCTGTCTGTGGTTGATTGGAATTAGAGCCTATGATTAGAATGATAAGCAAATGGAACCTCATTTTTCTTTTTCAGTTTTCAGATTATTTTTTCTAATTTTTTTTTGGATAAATGCAGAAGCTACAAGAATGGATTTGTGTGGCATGATCTCTGTGAGGATGATCTAATTCTTCCTGCCCATGGAAACGAATATGTTCTTAAAGGTTCTGAGCTCTTTGATGAATCTAATTCAGGTGAACTGAAATGATCTACCCTTATTGTTTTATAACTTGAATAATAGTTTTGTACCATTTACAAAACAGATCTAAGACTTAAAAGCTATAAATTATATCTACAGGTCGTCTTAGTCCTGTTGGGAACACCAAAATTCAGAACTTGAAACAATTATCATTACCAGAACCAGCATCTTCTAGAAGCCAAGATGATTCTTCGTCATCTTCGAGCATGAATGGGAAGGGAATTAAGCATTCCCAAGATGATGACCTTTCTCCTCCAGTTCAGCGACCTGGCTCTTCTGGTGTGTCACCAGAGTCTACAATTGGAAAGAATTCTTCTTGGGGCGGTTCTCTAAGCTTGACAGAGTATAAGGTTTATAAGACTGATGGATCAGCAGATGCTTCGACACAGACTGAGGGAAATGTGAACAAACCTAAAACAAGAGAAACCTGTACTAGGGGTGTTTCTACTGATGATAGGTCTATAGAATCTGCTTGCAATGGGAATTATCAAAACCAGGCTCCATGTGTGAAAGAGAATTCTGAGATATGTGGCCATTCAGTTTCAGTTTCAGTTTCGCCTCCTCCATCTTCCTGTAGTGCATCTTCCTCAGGTGGGAAGACTGAAACTTTGGAATCCTTGATTAGAGCTGATGTTAATAAAATTAACAGTTTCAGGATTCTTGAAGAGGAAGAAATCCGAATGCCAACCAATGCAAGACTCAAGGCTACAAATATGTTGATGCAATTGATCTCCTGCGGGTCAATATCGGTAAAAGATCACAGTTTTGGCCTAATTCCAACCTACCGGCCGAGGTTTTCCCATTCAAAGTTTCCTTCCCCATTGTTCTCTACTTCAATAATGTTGGGAGAGCTTGATTGCTTGTCTGAGAATCCAAGGTTGATGGGCCTGAGACTGGAAGACAAAGAATATTTCAGTGGGAGTTTGATTGAGACGAAAATGATTAAGGAAGAAGGAGATGAACGTAATGCTTTGAAGCGATCTTCTTCCTACAATGCTGACAGGTTAGATTGGCTCTAGCTCTTAACTCACAGTATCAGTTCTTTGGATATCCTTTCGAATACAATCAGTGAGTGATGATTTTGTTCCATATTTAATCTTCTGATCACCTCTTGATTTGTAGAGCTTAAAGGATTCATTATGTTATGAGCTTTTATTAGTTGTATTGCTCTAGTACTAGATAGTGAAGCATGGTAACTATGTAAAATAGCTGACAACATGAGTTATAAATTCCTGCAATGATGAAGAACTTCATAGCCAATTATATGAAAACATTGCTTAATGGGAAGATCATTTGGAGCCCCTTAAACTGTTTAAAGTTAAGTTGTCTCACAGCATTAGATGTAAAACTATGCTAGAAACAATCACAATAGTTAAAGATTAGATCTTTTAATACCCAAAAGGGTTTGAGTTACATAGCTGGTGTTAACAAAATTCCCTTTTTTATGGAAAGTTATAGTCAACCGATATGAACACAATATGTCAAATATATTGTTGCTGTAAATCTATGTAATGGAGAAACATATTTAGTAGAATTGTTAAATTTCATCATCTATATTTTTGTTAAAAAATATTACTCTTTATATATTAGTTTATAAATATTCTCCTCCATTAGTTCTGGGCTTCATGTGTTGGAAGAAACAATTGTTTTATTAAAATATCTGCTCACTTCATTGACAATAGGTGTTCCACTATTCATCCATGCATAACATGTGATTATGGACCATCTTTCTTGATATGTGTTAGTATAGGACTGCAAATGCTCCAAGTTGCTGTTGAGGGGCTTTGGTTGCTTTATCACTATTTTGTGCAACTAGTATTAGCATGTTGGAGACTTGGAGTATTGTGAATTTATGGTTAGTCTAAATATTTCACATGATCTGTTATGTTAACAAGCGTGTGCTTGAGGAGACATCTAAGAACCAAGCTTGAAAAGACTACTTAAGCTTCAGTCAATCTAGTTCGACCAGTCTAAGGTAGAGAAACCTGATACTTGGTTCAGCTAGGTCATTTTGTATCCCTGTTCATTTTTTCATGGGAAAATCTAGAATGCTACTTTGTAGATTGTCTTTCTTTAGATTGATGTGTTTTTACATAAAGTAAATTCTTTTCTAATGCCATGAAGTACATGTCAATTTTTGTGGGAAATGCTCAACCTTCATGGTCAATTCTATACTCAGGTTCTTATCTCAATCAGCTTTATTGAGAATTCGAAGTTCTGCTTGAACACCATTTCAGGCATGTACTAGGACGTTAATTTTATGTGGACACTGTAACTTATCTTAGAATAGTTGTTTTCTATACTGGTGATTAGATTGAGATGGTTTGTCTTCTCTCAAGGTATAGTAATGTTCTTGTTCATCCTGATATAATTATGGATCAATTTGATTGCAGGACTTCAAAGCAGTTGGATTCAGTTGAGGACAAAGAGGAGTCTAATTCTGGACATTCAAAATGCATTCCTCGCTCAATCAAGGCCTCGCTAGGCAAGCAACCACGAAGCGATTCAATGAAATCCGCTGTTTCTGACAAACCAAGAAATTCCTCTGATAGGGTTGACAGCTCCCAAAGCATACCTAGTACCTCATCCAATTGTTGCAGTAAAAGAATAACTGAATCTGTTTCAGGTAAAAAACCGTCAAACAGGCTGGATTCTTTCAGAGAAGAGAAGGAGAAGGTGATCAAAATCGAAGAAAGTTAAGTGTTGATTCTAACCCATTTTTCTATTCGGTGCTTATTTTTAGTTTTTTATTTTTTTGTCTCCCTTATGTTCCATTATGTCTGTCCATGTTGTTTGAAAATTTAGTTTGATTTCCTTCCTACAGGCTTGCTTCAGGAGCTCGGGTTATAATCCAATCCAAAGTGCCTGATGATGCCATTGTCGGCTGCTCTTAGAGATAACTGGAGGCCTTAGCAACGAATAGATCCTTTTTTGTAAAAGCTTGTCATTGTATAAAAACTTCAGTAGTTTGGTTTGAATTCCAAATGATGTTGGATTTATGGCAGATCCATTCCATGTGACCATTTTGTACATCTGGAAAGTTGAAAAAGAAAAAGAGAAAGGTTAAATTCTCTCATTTGCCAAAGGGGGTTTGAGTTCAGGTGCAGTTGTAGTGGACCATTTTCTGCTTCTTGGAGTAAATATTTTGGTCAGCTTTCTCATTTGCCATTTAATGAAATTTAGGCAACTTGAGTCAGAAAGAACTATACCACTCTTTTGCAGTACTGCTTTTGTTGCAGACGACTGCAAAAGAAGAACAAAGTTGTGAGATTACTTCAGATCTTAACTTGAGATAATTTTGAAGAAACGGAGTATTGAATACGACATTTGCCTTTGACTTGGACTCGTTCCTGTTAAATTCACCTTGGCGAAATTCATGGGATTCCTTATGTTCCATTGTCGGTATCCGATGTGGTTGACTCCCTTAAAGCGCTTTTCTCAAAGCAAAAAGTTACCTTTACAAGCTTAATTGATATTTGTATGTTCAAGTTCAAGTCTTCAACCCAAGCCGCGGTTTAATTTTAAAACAGGGTGAGTGGGGGCAATGGAGGGAAAGAGCTGTAAAAAGCTTTTCCACGTGCGAGACAACTTTAATGATTCTCAGATAGAGGCTCTGAAAGGGCTGTCTCCTCTCCTCTGTACTGGTGATATTAATTACTGCTCTCTTATTATCGGTTGCTTTTGTTAGGACAGAGAGGCCTTGAAGACCGAGATTCATCTTTTATCAGAGTCAAACCAAAAAGGACAAGGAACTATTGAATTTCAAACTACTTAGAAAAGATTATGAACTTTAATTTGAGGTTCTTTAATAGTTTCGGTCTGATTAAATTAGTGGGGTAACAATGTTTTATTTTGAGTCTAGAAAGACAAATCATAAATGAATTTATTTCTTCTCAGAATCATAGTGAGCTAGGGGTATAGACTATAGAATACATGATGCATTATCCGAACAACAGAATAGAGACTATAAATATAAGAAAAATAATACATTCATCGATGATAATGTACTGAATTTGTGCATCAAATAACATGATAAAACCTTGATTATTAATTAATTTTAATTTATTATTAATTAACGGATAAGAGTTTATCACGTTATTCAATATATAAATTAGATGGGCGTAGCATAACTCTAAATACAAATATTGTAGTGTTTCAAGAATGAGCATTATTGATGGCTGCCAAATTAATAAAATAACAATTCAGTGTAGCAATACAGAGCATGAGCTTGTCGGTTTCTTGTTCATCTGACAAGTATTGGAGTGTCGTTGGGGTATGTGATAATGTGAGTTGAGATTGGATTTGGGAAGGCCCTCTCCATTGTTTGACAGGGCTTTACTGTTGGCAGTTTTTGTCTGGGTAACATCATTCGCAAACATTCATTCTAAACAAACTATACTTACCGCCACCTCCAATTCCAAATCAAAGTCAACCTCAGGACAGCAAAACAACCAGGCTTTGATATTGGAACAGTCCTGCCGTACCCATTATTCAGCAAAATATTTTTTTAATTGATCAAACGATATGCTCTCACCAAAATTAGCGGAATTACAAGTTTCTATCGTTGGTTTCATATATTTTGATCCCCACTTTTAAATTAACAAAAGTTCTTTAATTTAATGATCAAAGGATAAATTGATCATTTCTAAACCCAAATTTAAAACGCAAAATCTCTCTCATGATCGTTGGCCATTGTGGCCTAATCGGCTCTTATAACTACTCAACTGCATGGTGAGCCGCAACAATGCAAGATGCGATCGCCATTGTGGCCTGATCGACTCTTATAACTACTCAATTGCATGGTGAGCCGCAACAACGCAAGATGCGATCGATCATGATCAACCAATATCACAACACTTTGCACAAACAACACCAGAACAATAAAAACTTCCAACAATCAATTTCTAGAAAACTGTCTTTAAGCCACTCAAAATACAACTATTCGCCAAATAGTGAAATAAGCACTGGCCGTCGAACGATGAGCGATCAGGTGCCAGAAGGTTGGGGGTTTTGTTAAAGGGTTGATGGTGTGTCTTGGGGTGGTGTCAATTTTGATTTTGGGTTGTTTGAAATCGCCAGACTCCGACAAGAGAGAATTGCATGAACCGTAGCGACAATTGGCGAATGGTGAATGATCAGGGACTAGAAGGTTGGGGGTTTTGTTAAGGGGTTGATGGTGAGTCTAGGAGTGGTGTCAATTTTGATTTTGGTCGTAAGAAATCGCCAAAATCCGACAAGAGAAACTGCACAAACCCTAGTGGCGGCTAACGTAAAATCGAGTGGAATTAGGCTAGATCGAGCTTGAACCGAGAGATGTGTGGCTGGAGAAAGGTTACGGGTAATGGTCAAAATTAGCCAAAAAGACAAATTGTTTGTCTTTGAATCTGGGGTGTTTTGATTTTGGGGTATGAAGTTTGGATCTAGGTTTGATGTTGGTCGTGGCAGCTTTGGCGATAGTTGATAGAGTTTCTGGCGGCAAAGACTAGGTGTTAGTGGTAGTGGTAGTGGTCGGAGATGGGAATGATGTGAAGGTTGAAAAAAAAAAAAAAAAAGATGTTATTGAGATAAATTTGAAAGTAAGATGGTTATTTTTTTTAATTTTACTAATTTGGGATTTAAAAGTAATTTATTAATTTATTTGTTAAGAGCAGTATGGTAATATCATCTTTTACATCTAATTAAAAGCAAAAAAATGGCCAACGGTGAGAATTTGGAATATATTAAACTAAAGGTGAAATTTTGCCATTTCACTAATCTTTGGGTGGAAAGATGTCGTTTGCTCTTTTTAATTCTTCACATTAGTTTATTTTAAAAGTTTGGGAATGTTATAAGCAAATAGTTTGTCAATCTTTAAAATAGGCTAAATAATGTAATTTATTTACTGGGTCATACTCGGGGGGAGTGCAGGACTAACACTTTTAAAACTAGACTCTCCATTCATTAGATATAAAATATTCGAAAAATAGTAACTTCATATTCTTATTTGATTATAAACGCGCATTTCAATATCCCCGATTTGAAGTATTGCATTCCCTTTATACATCTAGATCTTAGATCTGTGAAACAGTTTATCAATATTCAAAGGCTTCACCATCAACTTTAATGTGAAAAGCATTCGAAAACCTATTTATCCAATCCCTGTAGACTCAAAGTGAGGGTAAACTTATAATTAATTAACATAAAATGCAAAGTAGAAGAAGGGATATGGGGTTGATGAACAAATAAGTGGGGGTCAAATAGGATACGGGCCAAATTACATGGATTGGGTTAAAATTATCTTATCTGGCACAGAAATAGAGTAATGAGGTCAACTGGACTTTTTTAAGGTACACACACAATTCAATTACATAAGGAATAATTGATTGGATAAGCATGATTCCATGCCTAATAAGATATCTTCATTTTCTGTGTTATATGGCTGAATTAAATACAGGTGTAATTTGGAGTTAGAATCATCTTTTGGGTATAGATAAAAGAAAGAAACTGAATATATGTATTTGTGGTTATAACAAGGTGTAATTTGGTATAATTTCCCAATTAGCAATGTGTATTTACTGAGATATCATTGAGATGGAGTGTGATTCAGAAATACAGATGTTCTTTCTCATGCTGTTTAGGCCTGTTCCTGTTATTGGAAACACATGCTTTCATCAAGAACTGGTCATCTCACCATCTCTGGCATCTCAGATGAGCACGAAGTCGCGGCCTCTCCTCGCGTCCGTCTCGTATTGTACGACTTGCAGCTGAGGCATTTATGTGCTACTATGTGGAATTGAACGTGCGAGTTTGCCCTGCAATCGTTGCACAGAATCCATATCATCTTGTTTTGGTAAATTTCAGGCATTGGAGTCGAGGCAATCTGGAAAATGAAGTTTTAATGACAGATTTTTATGGCTTGAAGCATGTTGGCAACATACAACAATATAATGATCTTTCTTGATAAGCAATTATAAAATACCTCTTGATCAATCTTTGACCACAAACTGGACATGTCACAAATGGACTTTGAGCATACAGGACAAGAGTACCTGCAAGAGTGAGAAAATAGTTGAGAACATATGAGCCACTGAAATATGAATAATTTCACGAATTCGCACCTTATTCATGCTCAGAAATGAGAAAGAAAAATAGTTCTTACCGATAATGCATCTCCATCTCTTTCAAACATTCCAAATGTATTATGTGTCCACAGCGCAAGACAGTGATATCTTTCATTGTGTCAAATAGAAACTGCATATCAAAATTGAAGATATTATGTCACTACGGCTTGGCCAATTTCTTCTAAATTACTTGAGAATGCATTGAGTTGTTGCTCTTATTCATTTACCTCAAAGCAAATAGGGCAATTGTGGTGCATTGCTCTTTCCACGCAACAATGTGCATCCTTCATGAACTTCGAATAGCAACATCCTGAAGCAGAAAGTAGAAAAATTCGAAAACACTTTAGTTCAAAGAATCATTGAGAATGAAGAAAAAGAGAATTTTGATTGGAAAGCAATTGGTACTGGCCAAAAAGCGAATTGGCTTGTCTCACTTACCACATTTGTTGCAGTGGAAGAAATTCTCCTTGCCTCCAGTTCTGTAAAACCAATCGCAAGGAGGATGAGTTTCAAGAGAATACTAGCTACTACTAATGCTTATACTATGGCTGATAAGAAACTAAGGAAAAATATAAGACGAAAACACAAACCAAGAATCTCACCTGCAAATTCCACATTCAGCACAGTGGTATTGATTCTTCGATATCTAAAAACAAATTACCATTTCAGTATATAAGTAATCACATAGAGATACAAACAAGAGCTCACTAAGGATACCAATAACAATAACACCACTAGAAACTCACATCATCATCAAAGAATTTGCATTTTTCACAGAAGTACTTCCCCATGCAAATGCCGCAGTTTATGCAATTCTGTTGTACCTGGTACAGAATAATGCAAGAATATCAAAACCAACATACAATTTTTTTCTTCCGAGTGATTTGTGCTTGTGTTTTTATTTTATGTACCAAGCTACTTTATGTATAAGACACTTACATTTTGTTCTGTGTCACATAGAGAGCAGATGACCTGAGAGTCAAACAAAATAAAATTAGAGAACAAAACCAGAAACGCACATAATAACTCATAGCTTAAAGAAAGGAAAAAAAGATAAGTATGACCTTAAATTAAATTAAAGCTTGTCTAAGAAGTAGAAGTCAAACTTCGTCCACAAAATACCAATGGTCTAATTGATTTTAATTGATAAAGACATCATTAGTGCAACAAAAATACATTTGTATGGAGAACGTGCACAAGTAGGAATTGCTCTCTTTTGTCTTGTTCTTTTGTGTTAATCTGAACCGGTCCAGAGTTTATCCACTTTTCTTTTTCAAATGTCTGTGTTTTGCCTAACAATCCAAGACTCATAACACAATGACAAATTCCGCTAGCCTTTTGAGATGCAAAATAGAAAAGAGCAGAAGGACAAGAGGATGGAAAAAGACTGAGATTGAAAACCACATGGCTAGTTGGCCACCAGTTACTTTTTTCCTCTTTGAATTTCTGGCTCTAATGGCATTCGTCCTACAATGGTAAAACTTAAGACCCTCTACTTCAATTAGAAACTAACTAAAGCTGGAAAACATATGCAGACCTTTTCAACTTCATGGCGTGGAATATCATGGCGGTCAAGAGCATCGATTTCAAGTGAATTCTGTTCATAAATATTCAGAGAAAAGAAATTCAATATCAGCTTAAATAAATATAAACATAAACAAGCAAATTAAAGAGAAAACCATTAAAAAATACATTTAATTTGCACCTTAGCTTCATTATGGCAATGCCTGCAATCAAATATTTCACCACAACAAGGTGCTCTAATCTTGCATCTCCTCCGATAGTGTGAGCACCTTCACATAAACAACAAAATAACATCATTAAAAAAAAAATTACACATTCAAGAAACTCAAATTCAGCTGTCCAATTCAAGACTTGAATAAAAGTGAATGAAACTTACCCATAATTCCCAGATCCAAGCTCCATCAAAGACGCAAATTCAACAGAAGCTGATTCATGAGACGATCCCATTCTTCACAATCTGAACATGAAAAAAAGGAATAAATAACTCAACACCCCCTTCAAATACCAAATAAAAAAAAAAAAAAAAACCAGCGAAAAATAGGGACATCATTAAAAATCAGGAAAGAAATGAGAACCCACCTGTGATTTTCTTCCAAGAGACGGTGTTGCTTAAAAGATGGAAATTTATATGCAAAAAACAGCACTTAAAAGAGGGAGAGAGAAGGCAATATTTATGTTTTTGTACGCGTAGTTTTAGTGAAATAATTCAAATACACGCAAGGCCACAGCTTACGCTAAAATTAATCTCACAGCTAAATACAAGATATATTATCTTCTGCTACTATTAATAGAGAACTATCCTAGATTGCCGTTTCTTTGTAAGAGTAGTTGGATTCAACAGCGAGTTTTGGTTGAGTCAATGCAGGGCAGAGACTGAGTTAAGACCGAGTAGGGATGTAAAAGTAAAGCCATTTTTATAGTGGGTGGCGGGAAACAATGGGCTGAGAAAGTTTTGTCGTAATTACGAAATAGGACATAATGGCTTTCAATAACTACCTTTAACCGTAAGGGTATTTTGGAGCTAAGTGGATATAGGATAAGTTAAGAGTTTGAACTCAAACTTGCAGTTTAGGCTCTCGTGTACTACACGCTCTTATCGAAAATTACATTATATAATATCATATTATATTATGTGTTATGATTTTTTTTTTTTTTTTTTTTTTTAATATGTTAAGAAGTGTTCTCAAGAAGAAAGATTCTAAAAAAATAAGTAATTATTAGCTGTTTTCTCCACCAATAATTTGTGGTTTTTTTTTAATTTTGAAAAAGTATTTTAGAGAGATTTTTTTTATTATATACTTTTACAAAATATTTAAAGCTATTTTTTTATTGGCTGTGTTAAAAGCACTATTAAATCATTATTTAATTTTGTGTTGATTTTTTTTTAGCATTGAAGTGCGTTTTGAATCATTTTTAAATATTAAAATCTCTAATTATTATATATAATTAAAAGTTTTAAAAAATTTTTATCATTAGAAATTATTTTGAGAGTGCTAAAATTATTCTTAAACAAAGAAGATACAGTAATAAATTAATTCCGGCCAATAACTACTCCGAACGTGCTTTACACACGCTATAGAAACGCGTGGTAAGCGAGATTATAGGAAACAACTGGCAGCTGCTGTTTAAAATTATCCACGACTCATTTCACGATCAGCATGTTGACATAGGATAGAATCTGACAATGAGCTGACTAAGCGTGGGACCCGGACCTAATCTTCTCCTGTAAGTCACCCTACACTAACATCTGATGCGTACCAAAACGTGGTAAATTGTGAATGGCTCGTGTCGATTGGCCTTGTCAGCATTCGTCGTTTTTTGCTGGTGACATGTCATTGTCTTTTATTGAAGTGTTTGGTGATGTGTAGCCAGCTCTCTTTCGGTGTTTATGGGCTGTCTCGTTCTAGGATGGGCCCAAACAGGCATGTTTCTTCCCTTGAAATACATTGACAGAGATTACGAAAAGAGAAATGGATCAGAGTGAACCAACATCACAAAGTGAAAGGGGAAAAAGCTGAAAACTACATTTCAAAAACAGTTATCTTATCCATTTACTTATCAATTCACAAGTTTGAGTAACATACAATTATTCCTAAGGACTTTTTTTTTTTTTTTTTTTTAATTTATCCAATTTATTTCAATTATATTTCAAAAAATTCATTCCATTTTATGGGTAGATTTTGAAGTTTCTAGATGATACTCAACTTTTAGTGATGGTTATATATGTCTTCCAATTTGTTGGATACTAATTTGTTGTATGGAAAGGAGGCTTAGTTTTTCATCCTACTTTTGGACTACCTAATGAGGAATGATAACCAAGCTGAGCATATATATAAACAACATTAAATACAAGTTGATAGGTTGTAAAATATTTAAATTAACAATCGGGGTGAGTGATATAAAAGAAAAACATGATCTAACTGATTTTCAAGTTAAGTCCTATGGTAAAAGTAAGAGATGATTTAACAGCTCTCGAGTTCGATCCCACGATGTTAATAGAGTAGTCACCAGAGCTCTTACCCGTTGTTAGTTCAAGTCTTATAACATTTAGCTATTTTGGAACTCACAATTTTAACTAGTAAAATTGTTGTAGGTTTTTTATAAGTAAATGGCCAAGTGATAACAAAAATATAAGGGCATAATGAAGAGAGTGCATCCGGCACGTGTCTTTGTAATCCAATTGCATGTCGAGCATACATGTAAGTGTGACACATTTAACTAATTATCAAAGATTAAATTAACCCTTGACAATAATTATAATAATCTCATTGATTCCATACACATTACTTGTTATTGAAGAAGGTGATGCCATCATCTTCAGCTGTTAAAAACCAGTCCCAGATCGAACTTCACCAGATATAAACGCAGAGGCTGTTGCATTATTATTAATTTAAATGGAGTTTGTGGTTCCATTAATTTCTGGATGACCAAACTGATTTCAGATGCTCGAATATTCTGTATTTATTTTCCAATCAACATCAAGTTTTGACGTTTTGAGATGCTCCAGAATCTTGAACTAGAACCCATTTCTAAATATATAGATGCGTCAAGTCATGCAAGCCGTAAGCTGGAATTGCAGTTTCATTGAATTGTTTGAAAGGGAAGGTTGAACAAATCTTTATATATAAATTAGATAAATAATTAAATGGTTTAATTAAACTAAAAGAAAAGTTAAGCTTATATTAAAAAGATTTAAGTCATTTGTCACTTCTTTTCTATTTGCCAAGAAATCATCTCCATTCTTCGTGGAGACTCTTTTGCATGATAATCAAACCAACCTATGAGAAGCCTTACCAAAAAAAAAATAAAAAAAAAATCAGTAACCCTCTTGAATAGTTAATAATATGACCCTAAAGACTCCAATTACAAAGAGTGAGGACAAAACTTTGATGTTTTTTCAACTAAAAAAGGTATAACTGATCGCTATTTATTAAAAATTAACAGATCAAAACGTCATAGATCCCTCCATTAGATTCCTTTCACACATCACTTAATTTTATTGTTCATATATGATCGATTGCTTGATACATCTTCTTGAGAAAAATTCGATTAAAATGATCGATTTTGTGATTTATTTGTTCATTATATGATTGATATTTGTTTGAGAGACTCATATATAAATAATACAGACATCCAAAATAAAAGTTAACAAGAATTGGAAGCCTTTGATTAATTGTTGTTGTTATTTGAATATCGCGAAACCATTCTATTTTAAAATCAACAATCCAAACGTCATAAAAAATTAAAAATCCTATTTTGATTCCTTTCACACTTCAAAATTTTGTCCAAGTTCTACATTTTAACGTCAACCACCACCTTAGATGGTTTCTTCCCTAGAAAATTAAGCAACTTTTAACTACTCTAATGATGAGTGAGTTGATGAAAGACTTAGTTATTACTCAGAGGTCCTGAGTTCGAATCCCTTCTCAAGTGCTAATAAGGGTAGTTATTGAAACTTCTACCGATCGGTAGTTTTAGGATTCAGAAAGAATTTGAGGTGCTTAAGTGGATCTAGACACTCCGGTCATAAAAAAAAAAAAAAAAAAAAAGCAAATTTCTAATTGCTACAATATATTTCTTTCTCTTGTGTTCTGGTTATAGTATTTTTACATTATTTTTGTTTGAAACTTTCCAATAAGAGAGATGATGGATCGATAGCAAGAAGGAGGCCACTTGAAAGTGTACAAGTAGATGAGTCAAATACATAGAAAATTCTAAGACGACTTTACTGTTTCTTTATATTATAGTTCTTGTTCAAATCTTAACACCAATTATTAATTATTAATACTTCCGGAGCATATATTCCATTCACCCTGAAAATTATATAAATCATGATGCGCACATTTCGTTGTACAAGATCTCTCCAATTATTATTCTCCAAGAACAAAGAATCTCTGCTCACCAAAAAAAAAAAAAAAAAATGGATGAACCAGAAAACTTTCTGATGATGCAGAATACTAATGAGTTTGAGTTGCATGATTTCATCGACGAGGCAAACTTTGATCAGTTCGTGATCTAATTCGAGGCGAAAACGAGGACCCAGTTGCCAATTCAGCAGTGACCTATGAATGGTTTTGCAGTTAATAACAACCATTTGTTAACGAGTCCACTGCGGCAGAAGATATCTTTGATTTCAATGGTCAACTGCAATGGTCTTCTGATTAGTAACTTTGTTATGAACTCAGCAACGTCGAGTTTGATAAGGAAATGAACGGAGGGAGGAGGAAGAAGATAATTATGCGGATGATTCTTCTGGTACAACCAGGACTGCAACTACACCAAGTAGGAAAACAAAGACTGATCGATCGAGAACTTTGATTTCGGAACGAAGGCGAAGGGGTAGGATGAAGGAGAAGCTCTATGCATTGCGTGCTTTGGTTCCTAACATTACAAAGGTAGTTTCAACTTTTAGCTTTATTAATCAATTCCATGCGGTATTGTTGTTGTTATTTTTTTCTGAATGGCATGAGCTAGCTAGTTTTCTTTCTTACAAACGATGTTTGATGATAATGTGATTGAAGATGGACAAGGCGTCAATAGTTGGAGACGCTGTGCTGTATGTTCAAGACCTACAAATGCAGGCGAAGAAGCTGAAAGCTGAGATTGCTGGCCTTGAAGCGTCCTTAGTAGGCGCAGACAGGTATCAAGACTCAATCGAAAACCAGAAGAAGACTCAAGTTCGCAGAACCAACCGCCCTACTTCAAAGAAGATAATTCAGGTTCATACAATAACCAATTCTACAAACACTTTGGAATAGTTTATGATTAGAGATATGATTTCACAATTATGTGTTCCTTTAATTTGTGCACAGATGGATGTGTTTCAAGTGGATGAAAGAGGGTTTTATCTGAGATTGGTATGCAACGAAGGTGAAGGGGTAGCTGTATCACTCTACAGAGCTCTTGAGTCTCTAACCTCCTTCATTGTTCAAAACTCCAATTTGGCTTCAATTTCTGATAGATTTGTATTGACATTTACTCTTAATGTAAGACACAAGTTTCTCCTTTTTATTTTTTGTGTTTTTTCATGGTATTTAAACTCTATATAATTGATGAATTGGTATTGGAATTTAACAGGTGAGAGACAGTGAACAAAGCATGAATTTGCCAAATTTGAAGCTGTGGGTGACTGGGGCTCTTCTCAACCAAGGATTTGAAGTTCTAACACTTTCTGCCTAGCTTGTAAACCTTTTTTTTTTTTTTTTTCTTGCTGGGAAATTACGTATGTAATTTAACGATCTTAAGACGGCAGATAAAGTGTTAATCATCGGATTTCAGTGATCAGAAAAAGCTTTTAAATTTCTATGCACTAAAGTTCTAAATCCTAATGTTGATACTTTCCATGTTCAACTAATGATCTTGAGCTCTTTTCAGTTTTTCAGAAGTGAGCTAAGTGTAGTTTTTTTACTGTGGAATATGTACCTTTCGTGTTCTATGTTAATAAGGCTATTGAAGCAGAAAATATAAGAGTCCCAGAAAGGTCTATAAGAGGAAAGGAGTAAATTGTAAGTTTACTCATGATAATTGAAGCCAACTTCTTGTAATTGACAGTGACTTTTTAATTATTAAATGTTATCTGTAATTAGTCAACATGTTTTCTTAATTTAGAATAATGCAATATGTTATTTATTAGTCAATTTAGTCTATATTAATAATATGAAGCAAGAGAGAGATCTTTAGTTTTAACTATGTTTGTTTATACAATATACTTATAGTTCTTTAAATATTTTGACTAAATTTGCCTTTTGACATGCCACTTCTTGGGCATAAACAAATCACAAATTATTTCTGAAGCATTCAATTTGCATCTAGTAATAGTGAGTAAAATTAGGATGTAAATATCTCGAGACTTGGCCAGGCCCGGGTCTACCCGGGTTTTGGGCACGGATTTGGTTGATATGATGAGAGGGTTTTAGAAATTTTATCTAATAAGTGAGGGCTGGAGAAAAATTATTAGGGGGTTACATTTAATTTTATATTGTGAAAGCTGGATTTATAAGGGTTGTCTGAATCTCTTTAAGGGGTTTTCGGAATTTTATATGGGAGTTATCTGTAATTTTGCAAAACCTTGTTAATATACCTGGCTTAGTCGAAGTATACTCTGGGCTTGATTTTTCAGGCTAACCCGGGTGTAATTTGGACAATATTACACTTACAACTCAATCTCATAAATTTTCGACGTTATAGCTCGCAATTGATTTCTGATAAATTTTTGTGTTTGACTAATTACGAATTGTCATGTCGGAATTATAAGAGAGAATTTGTGAGATTGAGTTGTGAACTAATCTTTATTGGTATAATTTATGTTTTTGACCAAGTTTTATTTATTAAAATTTCCCACTTTCTATCCAATCCTTGAGGATAATTAACCAAAGTTAAATTATAATTTAAGAAGATATTTGCTCTTCTCAAAAAGTATAAACTAATCATTTGCTTGAATTAAATGCTGGGCCATGTAATAACAATTACAATAATAAAAATGATGCATAAATCAATGTCAAGCCCACAAATAGAGCAAGAATTGGAATCAAATCATTCACACAACAAATCAAAAAGCGGCTATTTCTCATCCATAAGATCATTGGGCTAATTTTTCTGCTAAGCCTCACTGACGGGTATGGGTTCATAGGATTGACTGATGAACAAGGTCTCATAAACAAGCCCAGCAATCCCACCTCCAATGAGAGGCCCAGCCCAGTAAATCCAGTGGTTGGTCCAATCCCAGCTCACCAAAGCGGGCCCAAACGACATGGCTGGGTTCAAGGATGCTCCATCAAATGCCCCACCGGCCAAAATGTTAGCTGCAAGAACGAGGCCAATTGCTAATGGTGCTATGACCCCAACGCTGCCCTTCTTTGGATCAATGGCGGTGGCGTAAACAGTGTAAACCAGCGCAAAAGTCATCACTATCTCAAAAACAAAAGCGTTCCACACAGTCACTCCAGAAGATAAAGCAAATGCTGAGGTCGTCTGCACAAAATTTGATTTTCTAATATTGTTAGAATCTTTTAAGGATAATGTACCATAAAATGATTGATCCAAATAATTTTACATTGTCATATAAGTCGACAACTATAAACAATAATTAGCCATCACTTGGTGGTTAGATGATAAAAGAATAAAATAATCAAATATGAGTTATTAAGTTCGAATCTCGCTATACATCAATAAAGTGGCCTCGAAGATTGATGAAGGTACATGTAAGGTCACCAAAAAGAAAAGAAAAAACTATAAACTACTAACTTAAGCCCCTTTGGACCTTCCTAATATCTTATAAAATAATTTGTAAAATTATTGAATCATTTTGAAATATAATAGGCTTCGTTTGGTTCAAAATTTGGGGGTTTTAGGAAAAGTTTTTTGAAAAACGTTAAAAAAAAGTTGAATTGGGCGGATATTACGATGTAGGATTTATAAATTAATAAAATGCCCCTTATGTTTGTTTTTTTACAAAATACCCCATATAATAAAACATTAAAAGTTAACAAAAACACCCCCAACCCACCCTCAAACACCCCCAACCGGCCACCACCACCGGAGGTGGCCGGAGTCGCCTTATCGGCGCATGACCAACTGGATCTTGCCGGTCATGTGCCGATATGGCCTTTTTCGGCCAGATCTAGCCGTATTTGCTCTCAACGATGGCCAACAAACGGTCGTCGTTGATGGTCAACGACGACCGTTTGTTGGCCGTCGTGACCGACTGTTACAGCCAAAGATCTGGCCGTCAACGGCCAGATCTTTGGCCTTAGATCTGGCCGGAAAAGGCTAGATCGGCGCACTACCGGCCAGATTCAGCCGGTGGTGCGCCATCCTATCAGATTCCGGCCATTTTCCGGCGGTGGTGGCCGGAATCTGGTAAATGTGGATTGTTGGGATGTTTTTGTAATTTTAAAAAAAATATTTAGGGGTATTTAATTGAATTAACAAATTTAGAGGGTTTAAAAAAATTGAATAATATTGAAAATAATATTCCCAAAAATGAGAGTTTTTGGGTATTTTACTGTTTAACTTTTTTGGGAATACTAAGAGTAGTATTCCCAATCTTGAACCAAACGAAGCCATAATGTTTGACAATGTATTCTATAAACACTGTTTAAAAAAAATAGTAAAATAAAAAATCTATGTAATATTTTAAAGAAAAAAATGTTGTTTTTTAATTTTCGAATATATATTTTTTTTTTTTCCAAAAGGTATAAAACATTTTTTTAGTTTAACATTATGGTTGATTATTTATTTATTACTTTTACATGTACTAAATCCATAATTCTTCGTTCAAAAACTTGAATTAAATTGTATAGAATGAATTCTGGTTAATTAAGCAGTAAAGAGCAATAATTTAGATAAGTTACCATGCCATTAGTGGCAAATTTAAGGAGCAAGCAAGCCACAGTGGAACCAAGAAGCTGACCAATCCAATACAAAATGCCATCTACCAAACTAATGTGTCCACCAACAAACGCCCCAAACGTCACGGCGGGATTCACATGCCCACCGGAGATGTTTGCACCGACGGCGACGCCGACAAAGAGGCCGAAACCATGAGCCAATGCAGCTGCAATAAGCCCGGCCGGAGTGGTGGAACCGTTATCGGTGAGCTTGTTGAAGGCCATGCCTGAACCCTCCCCAGCGAAAACAAATATAAGGGTGCTGATGAATTCAGCTAAAGGAGCTTTGAATATTGCAAGGGGAGAATCTTCCGACGGTCTAATCGATATTCTGTTGAACGGCATCGTTTGGTGATGGGATGGTTGAGATTATTAATGTGTGGTGTGGACTGCGGACGTCTCGATAGAGAAAGCAGTGAGGTTTAGCCGTTGAGGTAAGGGGCTGTCACTGTGAGCTTCTTATACTGAATTTTCAGGAGATAATTACATTTTGGTCTCTGAAATTTGGCGAAAGTAACTTGGTCCCATTAAAATAGGAAAATAACATTTAAATCCTTATTTGTTATCAATGGTTATATTAAAATAAAAGTTGTTAGGGCAATTCAGTATTTTTCTTTAAAGTTTTTCATTTCCCCGTATATTATATTTTCAATATTAATTAATTTTATAATTGTATTTATAAAAGAGTGCATTAAATAAGATATGAAATTCTATACTATTCTCTCTCTCTCTCCCCTTTTTTATTAATAAAAATCACTAAAGTTTTAGGACATTATGGACACTAACTAATATACAATAAATTTAATTTTGAATCTTATAAGAAAAATGTCATATAAAAATTCATTGAAAATTTAAATTTCCAGCTCGGCAATAACCTGGAGAGTCATGTGCACATTGTGTTGTGGATAAGAGCAGCCCCTTCACCTCCACAGATACCTCTGCAAAATGGATAATAGCTACTTCCTGCGGTTGTGCTTTAACGGGAGGTGGATTACACTTTTATTTTTGTTTGTTTTAACCGGAAACTTTTACATGTCCAACAAAATATTTTAAGAACAATTCTATATGCCAAATGAGTGCCGATAAAAAGTCAATTCTAACACATTTTTTATATAAGAAGTTACGTATATTATGTTTGTATATGTATAACACAGCTCATATTTAATGCTTACCATATATTTGAACTGGTAAAGAAGGGTAGAGTNAAGGGGAGGTGGATTACACTTTTATTTTTGTTTGTTTTAACCGGAAACTTTTACACGTCCGACAAAATATTTTAAGAATAATCCTATATGCCAAATGAGTGCCGATAAAAAGTCAATTCTATAGATATTTGTATAACACATTTTTTATATAAGAAGTTACGTATATTATGTTTGTATATGTATAACACAGCTCATATTTAATGCTTACCATATATTTGAACTGGTAAAGAAGGGTAGAGTTGGGAAAGAACCTAGGATCCCCTTTAGGGGTCCTAGTTCTAGTAAGGACTTTTTCCCTCTTCGCTACCTTCTTCCCCCTTGAGGGGATTAAATTGACTTGAAGGTACAGAAGGACGTTGCCCCTGGGAGGACTAGCTGTCTGTTCTTTCCTACTTATTTCTTCAAAGGTAAAGAAAACTATAGTAATTTCTGTACAAAAACCATATGGACTTTGCTTCAACCACTTCAATGTTTTCTAATTTCATACACCAAATCAAATTACATTTAAACCCAAAAGAAATAAATCATATCAAACTCAGCCACTTTGCGATGTGAAAGATATATATTCGCTTTTAATAATTAGGTGGGTACCACCACTTCATTAACAAATTTTAGAGGGTGCTATTAGGGGTGTTCAAAAAAATGCAAAAACCGAACTGATCTGAAAAATCGGTTTGTTTTTTGTTTAAAAAATACAAAAACTGATTTATTATAAAATATATTAAATATTAAATTAAAATCGATTTTCGGTTAACCAAAAAACTAGTTTTCTCCTTAACCTGTTCGATTTCAGTTTAGGAAAATTCTTGAACCGAAAAATTGATTCGGTTCACAAAATCGGTTAACCAGTTTGAACACTGCTAGGTGCCGCTAGTGCTACATAGATCAAACACAATTTTAGCGGCCCAAACTGTCCAGTGATCATATTAATTATTGAGACTAATAAAAAGATAAAAGAAAACTTTGAGTATGAAAATTCTAATACAGTAGAACCTCTCTATATTCATAATGTTGGGATCAACTAAATTTATTACTATAAGGAGATTATAACTTAATAGAGGTGTAGTTATAAGAATTATTGTTTTGATTTCTTATTTATAATTCATGTTTTAAAAGTATTAGGATTTCAATTCATGTTTTAATAGTATTAGAATTTCAATTCATGTTTTAATAGTATTAGGATTTCAATTTATGTTTTAACAGTATTAGGATTTCAATTTATTGTTTTAATAGCATTAGGATAATACGAAAATAGATATCAAAGAGTCATTGCAGAATTGGGTGATCAAATTCGACAACTTCACTGCACTAATTAAATTGATATTATTGTCTTCCTCAATTATCCAACTTCACTATACTAGTCATGAGCAACAAGTTGTGTATGTTTTAACTGAAGAATAAATAATTATTAAAATTAGACAACAAAATGAAAGAGATAATCTTGAGAATGATAGTACGGAAATACCAAAAGTTTCGTGTCAAGAAACTCTAAACATGTTTAAGAAACTATAAATATTTTGACTTCAATAAGAAGGTGTCCATGCTGACAACTTATTACGTACCTGCAAGATAAAAGATGCGGTAATAACTTTAAAGCATAAATTATTGTCCCAAACAACTTTGATAGATATTTTATTTCATCTTAAACCTTTAATATAACATATCATATATTTTTTGTAATATATATATAATTATTACTATATGAGGTAAGTTCTTTAAGACGGGACTTAGAAAAATTATAACTTATTACAATATGAAATTTATTTATATTTATAATTAGCTCAAGTTGGGATTAGAATTTTTTGAGAGTATATGAAGATTATTGCTTTATAGAATATCACTATAAAGTGATTCTAAGAGAGTTAAATCTCAACGCCACAACAATTTTCATTTACTAATGCAACACCACGTTAGACTTTATCTGTATCGTATATTTAAATAAACTCTTTCAATGTATCAAAAATCTTACCTTATAATAACAAGTTACATTAATAAACATGACGATGAAATCAATGTCAAACAATAGAAGAACTTCTTCATAGCATCACTTTGCTATACTAAGCCTCACCGGCGTCGGACATGGATGATTGAGTAATGAAGAACATCTCATATATAAGCCCACCAAGCCCACCCCAATCAAAGGCCCGTCCCAGTAAACCCATTGGTTAGTCCAGTCCCAGCTCACCAAAGCAGGCCCGAACGCCACGGCCGGGTTCATGGAGGCTCCAGCAAATGCCCCACCGGCAAAAATGTTAGCTGCAAGAACAAACCCAATTGCTAATGGCACTATGAACCCAACAGTCTTCTATGGCGGTGGCGTAAACAAACCAACCCAAAAGTCATCACAATTTCAAAACAGACGCGTTCCACACTGTCACTCCAGGAGATATAGCAAATGCTGTGGTCGTCTATACAAAATATGATTTTCGAATATTGTCAGAATCTTTACATCAAATTACTATTTCGAAGAGGGGAATAATGCACCAGAAGTTGACTGGTACAAATAATTTTACAGGGTAATTTTATTTGTCGTATAAGAGAGTTAAATCTCAGCGCCACAACAATTTTGGAAGTGTTAAATATTTCTACTAAAAGCCTTCTAAAATAATTATAAAATTCCAAAAAAAAACCCTCTAAAAAGAGGATTTTCAATATTTTTTGAAAATTGTTAGATAGTTGAAACTTAATTATTTCTAAAAAAAAAGAATAAAATTTACCCTTTTATTTTTACATACTAGTTAAGAGACCTTCAAAATTCTGACAACAATTAACTAAGCTCATTTGGAATTTGATAATATCTTATAAAATTATTTGTAAAATTAATAAAAATTATATTTTATTCAAAGTTTTGGTTTAATATGTGATGAATATATTGATTTTCAGGAAAAAAAGGATATACAAAATAAAAATATTTCTTAAAAAGTGCATTTATTTTTTATTTATGAAGGGCCAAATTTTTTGAGAACTTCCATATAGTTCTTACCAAGCCATCAGTGGCAAATCTAAGGAGCAAGCAAGCAATGGTTGAACTAGAAAGCTGACCAATCCAATACAAGATGACTTCAATCAAACTAATATGTCCACCAACAAAGGCGCCAAACGTCACAGCCGGGTTCAAATGGCCACCGGAGATATTGGCTGCGTTAGCGACGCCGGCAAAGAGGCCGAACCCATGGGCCAATGCGGCTATAACAATTCCGGTCGGGGTGTTGGGACCATTACTAGTCAGCTTGTTGAAGGCAAAGCATGAGCCCTCGCCTGCGAAAACAAATATAAGGTTGCAAAAGAATTCAGCAAATGGAGCTCTGAATGTCGCACGTGGAGTATTTCCCGACGGTCTGATCGTTATTCTATTGATCGGCATTGTGTAGAATATATCTGGATATGGGGAGTAATGACGTACTGAGGGCATGCATGAGCTCTTATATTGAATTTTCAGGGAATCAGCAACCAGGGGAGGAAGTGGAAGAAATCAAATGAAAATTTAAGAGGAAAATGATAATTAGTTGAGCAAGTAAAACCCTATAATATATACTAGAGTAGTCTCAAAAAAACAAAACGCTAGAATTAGAAATATAACATACACATTAAAGCTATAACACGAGTCAAAAGCTTTCTTAAATACAGTTAAAAAGAGGGAAGAACACCTTGAGGTTATTATATCAAAGTATAAACGCAACCATAGGTTTTGAAAATGACAAAAGCACAAATTTTTAACGTTTGTTCAAGGAAATCAATCTTCTGTTTACTGTCTTTACAGAATCCAAAGTTTGAGTGTTTGACTATATTAGCTATATAGTGATAAATTTTCTTAAAGGTTATTGCAATATGGGAGTTTTTGTCAAATTTGACAACCTTTGGATGTATAAAATTTATGAAAAACCAAAGGGAAAAGAAAATTTTCCATGAAAAAAAGAAAAACAGAAAAACCCTTGTGTGCTTGGCAAATTCGGGCTTATGGTTGGGGAAGCTAACTCTAAGGAGGGGGCAATGCGGTGGAAAACTGAACTGAGTAAATGAGGCCATGGCGGCCGAGGCCATATGCATAGCTCTCGGCTGATATGAGCATCTTTATTGATTGAATGTGTTAATGGGAAGGATGTACTTTTGCATGTAAGAAGTTGGTTTTGTTTAATGATAAAGAGATCATATTTTACTTCTATATTACTACTCCAACTATCATAACTCTACCATTAATTCTTTAACTACTTCACTGATTCACTCATATCATTGTTGACAAATAATATTTATAAGCTAAAAACAACATTTCCAATCTAAAGAAGATTAATTGAAGTATTATCATTTTGAAGTTATAAAGTGTCTTAAATTTTTCTTTACCAACAAAATCAATTATTTATAGGGAATTTCAAAGCTATCCTTATAAGTTAATATGCATAATTTTTATGGAAACAAAATAATAACAAAAATTTAAAATGCGTACAACTATATGTAATTATCTTACCATCCCAAAATACCTCGTGTTTTGGCCTACTTTCTCCCTCAAAACTCAAGAAAATTGGTGTCCATTTTCGAAAGGTTTGGGGTCTAAATGGTTTTCTAAAACTTCAGGGGAGGTTACAGGTAATTCCCCAAAAATAATAATATCGGTGTATCTAGTAGTGATGTAGGACAAACTTTTTCTTAAAAGAGTTTGAAACGTGTTATCATAATTCTGAAGGCTAGAATTTCTTCTTTGATAATTTATGCACTTGCCAAAAGTTGGACAATGCTTGAAAATGAAAAAAGAAAACTGAGGTAAGAGATAGACCTGGCAAAATGGGTTTATACCTGTCCGTGGATCCGTACCCATCAAAATGATATGAGGTACGAATTTTTAATTTTAGACCCCTTTTTTTTTTTACCCGTACCTGGCCCAGCCTAACCCTTTTTTTTTACGAGTGGACTAGGTATACCGTAGGTACCCATATAAAATAATAAACAAATTTAACCCGTTCATATATTAGACCCATTTAGAACTGACCCGTTTTGGGTCTGTACCCGTTAGACCTAGACCATGCGGTCTAATAAGAGATACTAAAGTAGTTGAGAGTATTTGGTAATATAGTACTTAGAGGATTAATTTAAATTTTCAAACACTGTTTTAAAACCCGACCAGTTTAAGCAGGACCCGGGACCTTCATCGGGATGGGTCAACATTTTTCCTATTTATCCAAAACTCTAGAATTTGAGATGATGATCGACGAATAATTGAAGATCGGGATGTTGGGACTTTTAAAGAAAAAATGTCAGTGAGTGCAATGGTGGCAACAAAGTTGATTTCTAATTAGTGAATCGACCAAAAATCGAAAAAAATTGATAACGGCAATAACTTTTACCAACAATTGGCGAGGCTAATGAGGGTGGAGTGAGGTGAGTTTTGGTCGAGAGAAAGAGGGGAGTGTTTTCGAAGTGATGGGGAGTGTTATTGATGTCGACGTCAATGAGATCTAGCTTGGAATACCAACGTTGGCATCGATGAGATTTGATCAAAATCGATCAAATTCGACCGGATCTTAAGTAGATTTTGACAGGAATGGGCTCAAGGGACGATGATTGGAGTTACATTTTGGGTGTCATTGCTGTTAACCAGTCACCGACCGATTTGTATTTGATGTATGTTTACTAAATTTCAAACCTATAGGAACTTACCATAATTTTTAAGGGTGAATTTGTTGAATTTTAAAAATTTTGTCACCCGATTTGACCGGTTGGTCACACTAGTCGACCTGGTTACCGGGTTTCACCCTGGGATGGATTTTAAAACATTGTTTTCAAATGATAAGATGACATCAATCACTTGCCATTTTAACATTATAACATCAATCACTTGCCATTTTAACATTATATTATGTTCTATAAAAAAATGTTATTAAAGCTAATAATTCTAATTCTTACAACACAAGAACTATTACACAGAACAACTTAGGGCACGTACATTGATTGTCCTTTGAGCTCAATCAAGACCATTCCACCAGCTCTCAGGTGTCACGTTTTCATCGTAGAATTCTGAATGGCAACCTTGAATCTACAATAAAATATTTGGATTCCAAATAAAAATGTTCAGAGTCAAAATCCAGTATTTAGTCGCAGCAGGAAGCAAATGAGAAAGAAATTGATATAACACAATAAATAACAGTAAAAACAAGAATGGTGATGATGACGATGATAGGTAATTATACAAATGTGCACGAAAATGATCCAAATTAATTGAAGAAAACCAAATTATCAAACTCGATGATCATTATGAATCACCCACAAACTATGCCGATTATCCACAACTTTGCAACAACACCACATGAAGCTTTTGTCCCACAAAAGCAAAATATTGTACCGCCAGGATGCATACGTGCGTTGTTTCATTAACAACTAGAACGTGAACTTTCAATAATAACTTTCGGATCAAACACAATCTTGCATGATGGAAGAGTGAACATAGAGATAATATTAAAAGTTTTAAACAAATAATCAACTAATCATTTGTGGGGCATCTTTTACACTTTCTAAGCATCACATTGTCAAACAAAACATTACTTAAGCATAATCCTCCACAAAATAATAAAATATTTATCCAGCCATATGTTAGCAGATAAGAAAGACACAATAGAAACATACCAAATTATTTGAAAGCACTTGTAGAAGAAACCAGCGACCTGGATCCATATTATACGGCAATTAACAGGCAGCCAATTTGTAGAGAAAAGAAAACAAATGTCAATCCTTAGAGAGACAAAAGTAAATAGAAAAAAATACCTAGAAACAGGCAAACGTGCTCAAATTCTCCTCTGCTCTCTGTTTGCAGCTTTCCAATCAATATATCCAGCATTATAATAATCTCTGTTTGCAGCTTTCCAATCAATATATCCAGCATTATAATAATCTCTGTTTGCAGCTTTCCAATCAACATATCCAGCATTATGATAACCCATGAGAATCCTTGTGCCACAAGTTCTGATTTTAGAATATTGTCAAAGAAGAAGAGAAGGAAGAGCATCTTTGTCTGCATACACATCTCCATAAATTTCTAGTATTATCAACGAATGAGACCTTGAAGCTGTCCAAACATCTGGAATCAGCTATAGAAACCATTTTATTTTCCATTCACCTCCAACAGAGACATATCTCTGATCATATTCTTGCTCTAAACAAGCAGTCACCAAGTTTTAACTCATAACCATCTTGATGCCTGCTTCCTGTGCCGCACTGCACATTTTTGCACACCAATATCAGCCGAAATGGAGAGAAGAGGAGAAATATATTGAGAAAACACATGTACAGTCTGCAACTGTTAGCTTCTGCAAGGCATTAAAAAGGTGAAAAGCATAATTGCAGGAGCGAACAGTGTTCTATGCATTACTTAAACAGCTAATCCAACCTGAGCTGATCAGACATATCCGCCTCTGCATGCTGGTCACAGATAAGTAGTCATGTAGATCACAGTAGAGGCCATTCCTAAAGTTCAGTAAGTTTGATTACTGGTTCCCTTGGACATAACCTGCAATGTTGTGCCCTTAGTAATCCAGGCAGTTCTCTCTGGCTCATGTTCCAAAGGGTTAAGAGACTGCAGATTTCCATCTTCCAATTGCACACCATAGACAAATGGTAGTCTAAGTACAAGAAAACTCTCTGGTGGTAAGATCACTTGACAACCAAGGCTGAATTGCAACTTTTGCTCACGATCCTGAACTGATGAAGGCAGGCATGATGTCTACAAGTAAAAATTAATATAACAAGATTGATGAACGATAACAAAACATTGATAAATATCATATGGTCATGATGTAATACAAGGAAAATTTCATTCCAAGAGAGTAATACCAGCCAACTAATTCATGGACTACTCATAAAATCTTGGTTGTCGTGTTGGAATAAAGTGAAGGGACAGTAAATTTAATTCCAAAATCTCCTGAGTAAACTTCAATAAAGCCACCCAAATTCCAAGCATATTAAAAGAAACTCTCCAAACACTAAGTGGGGAAAGAAAAGAATTCAAGATAACTTAAAACTCATAAGTAATGCTTTGAAACCTTCCATAAATAATATATTTCTAGTATTATTAACCATAAAGTACATGCATGAATGCTCCAGAAAGAAGTGAAAGATACCTCAAATTGTATAGTAGGGCATGTTGCTAACACGGTCGGAAATGGAGGCGTTACCTACAAACAGATTATATAGATTAGGCAGTGGTAATTGAAGGAATTAAAACTTAGAAAAAGACATATTGCATATTTCAAGGAAATAAAATTGTACTGTAAGAAAGCTTTCACAATTCAGATATGACTGCTCACATATCAAACTGTTGATTAATACAAAAAATACTCCTACTTTAAACCCATTATGTTAGTCCCACACACATGCAAGAGTCTTTAACTTCAAAGTTTTGGCTGCTTACAAAATACTCAAGAGGAAGATTTGTGAGCTCAGCTTGTTATTCCTTACATAAGACAAGAACTTTGAACGTGAATAAGTTTCATAACTTTTATTTTCCTTTCAAAACTGTGCATTGTCTTATTTTGTAACTCAACAGTTGGATCAGAGGAAACACTTCCTTACATAACAGTCAATGTAAGGAAGTTTTAGATTCAAGATGAAAAGAACGAGAGAAAAATAATTTATGTCTTTTTCTGGTAAAACAAGCAATTGCTTGAATTTTTCCTATATATACTACATGGAAAATATACAGAACAAAGATGCAAAAATTCAATTGGTTTCTCCAACAAAAAATTATATAATTTAGCTTAGTTTTCCAGAGCCATACGAAATGGCATTTTTTCAATTATCTTGGTAGATCAAACCTTAAAATCAAGCAAATAAACCCTCTGAAATCATTTTGGTAATCAACATATATAATTTCCCTGTATGTAGGTTAATGATGTCAGTTAAAAGAATTTCAAAGTGTTAAGTGTGCCATATTGATTTTTTCAGGAATCTAGCCTTTCAAAACCAGATTAGGTGACAGCCTATCTGAATTATGTGGCTCTAATGTGCAATTCTAATATGTTTGAAACAGACAACACAAGCAAGTCTCCCAAATCACCAACAGTTTGAAGAAGCATCAAAGAGGGCTAACAGCCTGTCTGAACGTTGTTCTGTCATTTTACACAATAAAAGAAAAGAGATGGGGGAACTGTATTGATTAAAAAAATTAGCATCAATATGCATGTTAATTAAGTTACAGATTGCTATTGATTAGTTCAACAGAATTAAAGGCAGTATGATAAAGAGCTTATAAAAAATCATTGCATACCAGAAAAATCCTTTGAAGCTGAGATATCGTGCTGGCAAACTTAATGTTTGGCAGATCTTTCTTATTCTTAGAGACCCTGCAATGTGGGCAGTTCATGTATACTGGTAAGTTTCTATTCAACATGGAGAATGCACATCCACCATCTCCAATGCTAATAGATTGAAGGCTTGCTTCATGATCTTTTACATAATTGGGTAGGGTTACTATGCCAGCAGTTGCCTGATTATGTTCCTTTCCTGGTCTGGCAATCTGTATCAGCCCATCCTTATGTATATTTCCATTTGACAATCTCTCTTTTGACTTATCCATATTCCTGACCTTATTTATAGCAGTTGCAGCAATCATCCCATTTGATGCTCGATGAACTTTCCCATGGTTACCATTCTTACTTGATTTTGAAAAATTTGCCAAACTATGGTCCAAGGTTTCCACAGAAGAATGCGTATGAGATTCTTCAAGCAATGAATATGAGGACCCAAGTTCATTGAGGTGCTCTGGATTCAATAAGAATCGATGACCATGGGGGCACTCATGCTCAAAACCAACATACACTAGTACATGCTTCATAGTAGGGTTCAATGTGACGTTTTCACCACCATTTATATTTACAGGAACTACATTACTACCTATACGTAAAAAGGGGTTACCATCTGAGCTCCTAGAACTGATATCATTTGATGTTTCCTGAACAGCTGAAGTATCATCAGATTTTTGAGATCCTTGATCAACACTTGCATGAACCTGCTCCATACTCCGATCTTTTGCCCTATTTTCCTTGATACCCTTTTCTGACCCTAATGAAGGTTGTTTCCTCTGCTGCTGGAGTGGAGGATATTTTGAATCTGTAGCTGCAGATCCAGCTACAACCTCAGAAAAGGGTTTTCTCATTGTAAAATTGGGAAGACCTCTACCAAAGCTAATTTTATTATCATGAGAGTTATGGTTTTCAGTGGATTTTCTTTGATTTTCAACTCCATTCATGTCTCCTGAGTGCAACTGCTTGTCACCAGCCTTCTTTATGTCAATGGCTCCATTATGTCCAACCTTGGGTTCTGTACTTGACCTAGTGAAAGAACCTTGGTGGACAGCTCTAGCCAATAAATCAATTGGGTTTTTCTGTTTCTCTAAAAATATTGTCCATTTCAAAAGAAACTTATGAGAGGTAGAGAACCCACTCTGAAGTAAACCTTTTGTAGGTTCATAGTACCTTGCACCCCCAACACGAATCAAACTCCATGAGGATGGCTGAATAGGCCCAACACCACTTACCTCTGGTAACTCAACTTTAGGAAGGAGTTTGTCACATTCTGAAAAGCAAGAGGTAGTACTGTTTGCTGATTCAAAATCAAAAGGGTCAGATCTTAATTGCCGTGAACGGCCACAAGCACAGGCGTGAAGGAAAACATATCCACTTGAATGAGGCTTCACAGCATTTCCTACTAGTGATTCATCATTATCCACATTATGTCTTTGATGCATACATGGTTTTCCTGTCAAACTAACAGCATCACAAAGTTGCCTTCCAGATTCCCAGATGGATTTGCATTCATCTTCTAACATCTTTGCATACAGTGGCACTGCAGGACCCCTAACCATTGAGCGGAAAGCATGCAGTGCCTTTTCCAAATTTGCTTCATGCTGTGAAGTGGGATAACAAGCAGGTAAGTCATTCAAATAAGCATCCTTGGCAGCCGGAAGAGTTCTTTCACACCAAAGAATTGAAAACTTTTTGTTCAGTCCACCACCACTTTCCAACAAAGATACTGCAATATCTAGAGGATCTGCACCTCTTGAAGCAGTACCTTCAACTTGTGGTGGCACACTGTTTTTCTGACGAGGTTTTCTTTTAGTAAACTCACTTTCATCTATACATCCACGTTTTGCAGAAAGAACTCCTTGTAGAATAAGTTGACTGGATGATAACCATATATCCAAACTTGGAAGTTCAGGCATAGTAAATGCCTTTCCAGATGCTGCAGATGCTGCAGCAGCAGCAGCAGCAGCAACAGCAACCATACCAACCCCAGCAGCTGAGCCACTGTTGGGGTTAGCAACCAATCCCCCTCTCCCTCGTAGAATATCAGATTGCCGATAAATGAACTCCTTTACCGATAATATATCCTCCTTGTTTGAACTTTGACCATGACTTTCAAGTAAAAGAGAATCTGAGGTTGCTTCTCCATTCAAAACATCATCCACAAGACTGGTGGCAAACTCCAGAGACTCACCACTCTGATTCGTACCCCTGTCTAACAGTAAAACAGCCCTTGATGCATCAAGTGAAAACAATGGAGCAGAACTCAAAACAGCCCCGCCTCTTGGACCAGCATGACTACTTTCAGAACCTGATAGTGTTCGACATTTTTTAATCAAAAATCTAATCTGTGCCTCAAGAGATGACTGCAGCTTCTTCCTAAAACCACCTTCTGATTTACTTGTTGGGCGTGCTAGCACAACTACTGAACCAGAACCTTTCATTGGCATGGTTGGTCTAGCTAAAGTGCTTACGTTAGAAGATTGATTAAGTGAGGAGGTTTCTGTTGACTCTTCCATATTAGAACTGGGATTTGGCACATCTGAGAAATCATCAATAAATACAAACAGTATGACAGGAGTACACTGCCCAGGAAACAACGTGGTGTAGGAACCTAAACCTGACATGAGAGAGATAGCTGAAGCATTGCGACCTGAAATGCCACCACTTCTACCAGATGAAGAACTATTAGTAGAGGTTACCAACATTGAAGGTCGAGATGGCGATGAAGAATGAGGCCTAGATGGCAATGGCGGTGTGGATCTAGTCTTTACATATGGCGTCAATGCGTGCTTGGCAGCTTGTAACACTCGAAATTTTTTCAAAATTTGAGCATCAAAGCGTGAACCCTCCTGAATATATATGATCACATGGCAGACCTGCATTGCTAATTCAGTTATTCATTTGAGATATCACATGTGAGGAAATTTACCCATATCTAAAGCAACCAAAACTATTCCATTTCCAAATTCTGGAGATTGTTGCGAGGTTGTCCTATTGCCTTCCTCTAACCAGAGAAAGCAGTCAATCACTTAAAATGCTAAACAATAACTTCGAAAACAAATAAAGAAAGAAGATGTAAGAATACAGATTTCACTCTACACTTCTTAACTTCAAAGAATTAACTTATTACAAAGCCAATGTTAGCACGACATGCTCATATTGTCACATTAATATGTTAAATCACTAACTTACTAAATGGTCCTACCACCTAATAAAATCTAAACCAACATACAATCACAAATTTTTTTTCTACATTACCCATACTCTTTGGGTACATCATAGAAACTGACTACTAACCCTTACGTATGCATATTCAATAAGTCCAAGTCTTTTGAGAAGAACTCAAACAAATGCTTTATCTTTAATGGTTCATAATGCATACTTAAAAATCTAGGTAAAGCTCAAGTAAATTGAGTCCGGTAAAGTGCCAATATCAAAATAGCAACTTGCATGTCTAAATTGCACATAAAACACACTCCACCGAAGGATTTTCAACATCAATTCTAATTATAAATTTGAACAACAATTCGTTACAAATGGAAATATACTTTACTTGTAAATAATATACATTCCAAAATTTAGCTCAAGTGATAAGCTAATTTCAAAATAGATAAAATTAAAGAAAAAATCCAACTCATAGACAAGAAAATAAATAACTCACAGTAAACATGAAAAGCAATCCCTGAAGATCCCCGAATTCGTGCTCCTCCACAACTGAGTCAAAACCTGACCCGGAACTACTTGACCCGTGAAGAACCGGGCACTGAGTGGAGCTAAACTGCAAGAACAAAAGACCCTTTTCTTCTTCATGATAGTAGCTGATTCTCCTGGAATCAAACCAACGTTTGACTTCCTCTTTGTCAACAGCCAGAGTTCTGTCCATACGACCAGAACCGAAAGTGTTAGAGTCCAGGACCCGGTTGATGAGCAGGGAGGAAGTATGGGGTCGTTGAGATATGAAGCCGACAACTACGACGCCGTTTAGAGAGTGGGGGAGTGGAGAGGTTGAGGAAGAAGGTGGAGGTGAAGGACCCGAGGAGGGAGTGGGTGGCGGTGCGGGTGTCGTTGGTCGGGTCAGGACCCGCATAGAGTGAGGGTTGGGCGGGTCCATGAATTTGGCAAATTGAAGAGAGTGATTTTATCATTTATATATTTTGGTTGTTGGGTTTCGGGGGGTTTCCATTGAGAGTTGTGAGTTGTGAATTGTGAATTGTGGTTGTGAGTGTGAGGGACAGCGAGAATAATCATGAAACTCTCTCAATTGTCTGTAATTTGCCGCTTGTAATTACGTTTGATAATCACAGGTTAATTATTTTTAATTTAATTTTGCTTTGTTAGTAACTTGTAACCCTAGTGATGATGAGTGATAACCACTTGATTAATTAATTTATTCTATAACTTTTAGACCAACCATTCAAATTCCAGGGAGAAAGAGGGGTAATTTGTGAAAATTTAAAACTCATATTTCCCATAAATTCAAACAAACTTCAGGGATAGGTTGGAATTATCATTAATTTACTCTCCCATTCCTCTCACAAATGCACATGTTAACGATCGAGGATTCCAGACTTAAGACTTCAAAGCAATGTTTTAAAAACCGACCCAAGACAAAACCTGGCAAGGTGGTTGGGTCCCGGGTCAACTGGTTTAACCGATTGAACCAACTGGTTCAACCAGTGACATCATCATGCTGACGTTACTGTTCACAAAATGCTAATTTATAAAATTTGGCTGTAAATCATAAATTCCAGAATAATTACAAAAATGGGGATCCAAAATTTAGTATTACAATATAGTTTATCATATCACGGTTTCCTTGTGAACATTACCTCTACTAATAATATATAGAGTAAACGACATATTCCCACCCAAGGTTTGACGAAATCCCAAGTTAGTACCACTGGTTTCATTTATTCCAGATTCACACCCTTAAAGTAACAGTGTTATGAATTTTTAGGGTTTAGAGGGTATAATTACCATAATGCCCTTAACACTAAATTAATTAAAATTATGTTTTAACCCCTAAAATAGTAGTATTACAAAACTTACTATTTTATTTTCAAATTATATCAAAAACACCCTCGGTTACTATACACCCTTACTGGAAACAGCCCGATCTGGGCTGTTTCCGGCGACGTCGAACACCCTGGTCACCTCCATCACCTTCCCCGTAGTCCGTCGTCCAAAACCCCTCTGGTTCCCGACTCATTTGCCCATCCAATCGCCGTCACCGTTAGGCTTAGGGTTTCGGTGTTCTTCACCGGATTTCGATCGATTCCGGCGGTGAAAATCCAATTGGACACCACCAATGCAACCACCGTCCCCAAATCTATAAAACCCCTATGTCCCCAGCAACGGTTTCATCGTCATTCGCCGGCCGAGAGTTCGTGTTCATCGACCGTTTTTCATTGCCGTGGCCAGAGATCGGCGAGTGATGAGGGGTTGTGAATGGTATGGTTTTGTAGAGGGGAGGATGAGGGTTCAAATGGTGGTGACTAGGGTGATTTTGGACGGAAGAATCGCCGGAAAAGAGCGAAAAACGTCGGGAACGACGGCTGCTAACGTGCGCCGGAGGACTGTTAGAGGCGGTGGTCTGCTAACGTGCACCGCCCATGTAAAATGACCAATTTACCCCTTTACCGTTACATCAAACGTTTTTCCGTCACTTTAAGGGTGGGAATCTGGAATAAATGAAACCAATGGTACTAACTTGGGATTTCGTCAAACCTTGGGTGGGAACATGTTGTTTACTCATAATATATATAATAACTGATATAACTATATGAAATAAATTATCACATTAATTGGGATGCACAAACTTTGTTAAACATTATTTTCCCAAAATCAGCATTCATTTAATTCTACATATCATACGCCAATATGGACAAAAACAATCAAAAGGATAATTAATTTTCTATAATTCATTTTTAAAGAAGCACTAAATTTAAAAATAACCCTCCCCAGTCGATCCACATCTCAAAGGGAAAAGTGGCTTTGGGTGAGGAATTTTGTCAAACAAGTGGTGGGCAAGTTGGCTGTAGGAAGGTTGGAGAAGATGCTGAGTCATCGGCGACCAGGTAGGCAGGCAATTACACACAAACAGAAAATCAGCATCATACACATGCTGCTTCATACTTAAGCACCTGATTGTCCCAAGTCCCAACTGCATAATAGTAGCAGCAGCAAAACAAACACAAATACATTCTTCAACCAAAATTGAAAATAAAATCATTCACACCAAAAATATAAAAGCATGAATTAACTTTTTCTAAGCAAAACCAAACATTTCAATAACAATTACTAACTTATTTACAGCGCACAGCATAGATCAGCGGTGAAGAAGAGTGTGTGAGGACAGAAAAGATCATGAAATGTGAGGAGAGTCACGGTACCCCAGCTGACGACGAAGTAAGCTTTTGACGGTGAAGGCTGCAGCGACGAGATTTGACGGTGAAGAGGAGACTCCGGCGGTTATTTTCAGAGTTTAGACTTTCAAAGCAAAGGGTGGGAAATGTCGTGAAAATGGGGGGGTTGGGGCTTTACTGTTCATTCAATATAATATATTATATAACTAAAATTTTATTATTTTTATAAATAGGTGCCCGGATTTTTTAAAACTAACGGTTGGACCGGCGGGTGTTACAGTACACCGGTCCAACCGCGGGTCTAAATGGGCAGAGTTAAATTAACGGTTTTGGGACTCACTTAGCCCGGCTCACCAGTCGAGTCTCGGTTCAACCGGCCGGGCCGGGCGGGTTTTAAAACATTGCTTCAAAGTCATTGATAGTGAAAGTGTGAAATAAGGAGGTCAAGTTTTGACGAGCGACGAACAACATTTACCTTAAATTTGCCATAGTTTAAGAAATTAGGAGTAGGAGTTTTTAATACTTAACTTACCCATTTTTTTTTTTTTTTTTGAGTATTTACAAACGGTACATAAAGATTTAATGTATTCATGTCTCTTGTTTACAAATTACTATACTCATGTTGTCTCTATTTAATAAGAGTCTAATATTATATAAACAAAATTCAAATACAAACTAACATGACATATAACTACCACTGGATGACCTGATGATAAAAAAACTAAGAGATTTTAACATCGGTTTTTGAGTTCGAGTTCCTCCAAACATTAATAGAGGTAGCTACTAAAGGGATTTACCCGATCGTTTATTTCAGAGTCTTAAGGGATTAGTTGAGCTGCGTATAAACTAGTTCGAACTCCACTTACCATAAATGGAAGAGTAAAGACAAAAACTTAGCTATTTTAAACTAAGTGTTTGCGTATATATAACCAAGTTAGTAATGTTAATAAATGTGAAGGTTTTGTTTAAAGGATAAGTATGGTCATAAAATCAAATGATTTACTAATTATAACCCTAATGAAATAACAAATGATATATTCTTTGACCTAATAATGTCAGACTATTTTAAATTAAACTTGATACTCTAGCATTTAATGGTATAATTTTAAAAATACGGTAATACTACACTCACAAACCCTTCTCACTAACTTTCTCTCACAAACACGACATATCAACTCGTAATTGGTTGGTTTATAATGGATCCCATCTATCCAAATGTGAGCTAACCAATTACGAGTTGCCACGTCAACATTTGTGAGAGAAAATTGTAAAAAGTGTTTGTCAACTTATCTTTATTATTTAAAGTATGATTAAAACATGCTAGTTCGAGTAATCTAGTTTATTCCTACTATTTTTTTTTTCTTTTTTCTTAGTGACCGGAGGTGTCTGGGTTAGTTTGCACACACATCAATTAATTCCCTAGGGTCCTGAAGTTAACAACCAAGTAAACCTCGCTTGAGGTCTATTGAACACCTTACAAGCTCAATAGGTCAAGTAAGTCACAAATGTGGTGTAACACCCCACTTGAAATACGTAGCCACTGTTTACGGTATGGCCTAAAGGATTACTGAATTGCCCCTAAATGAGTTTATATATTGTTCATGTTGTTTGGTTGGTCTTTGGTTGAGTGTGTACCTTGGAATTGATCAAGACTTAGCAAATTTTGGAGTTTCAGTCTTTGCCGGGGCGAGGGAGAAGCTTCGCCGCGGCGACGTTGGTTCTGTGTTGGTAGTGTTGGTTCTGGAATGTTTCGCCGGGGCGACAGAAAGTTCTTCGCCGCGGCGACGAGACGGCAGAAAAGTTTCTTGAGTTTTCTAGAGAATTCTTCTTTTGGGACACAATGACCATTCTACCCCTAATTAGTAGGAAAAGTGGGGAGTAAAATGAAAGGAAATTTAATAGAGATTGTGTTTAGATGGGGGTGTATTTGTAAAGAATCAAAGGATATAGATGGAATTTTCAAGAAAGAGTAAGGGCAAAATGGGAAAGAGTGGATATTATATGAGTTAATAAGGGTTGAGTTCTCTAAACCCATTCATTTTACCCATTTCCACCGCCTCTTCATCTCCCATTTTCTCTCAATTTCTCACTCAATTTTCTAAGGGATTTTTGAGAGTTTTGAGTTGGAATTTGACAAAGAAGTGATCCTAAGCAAGAAGAGGTAAGAATCCCTACTTTAGAGATGAATTTTATTCATGTAAGGGTTAAGTTCTTACTAAGTTTATGCTTAGGAAATAAGGGAAAGTTATGATCCAACAAGAGTAGAGAGCTTTAGTGGAGACTACTCAAGTATGAGGTAAGTAAATCCAACTCAAGCTAAAGTTTAAGAAATTCTTAAGTAGAGATTTATTTATGCATGTATATATGATGCTTATTGAGAAATTGAGTAGAGATGTATGTTTATTTGTTGAGAAATTGAGTTGAGAAGAGTATTTATATTATGTTTGTTGGATATTTCCTTTATGGAAAGTGTTTATGAGTAATAGTTTGAGATGAAGTTGGAGGAGATTGAGTATGTATTTTGGGAGTGTTTTTCTATGATAGGGTTTATGCCCATAGAAGGGAATTTACTTCCAATTCTGGATGGTTAAAAAGAGAAGGAGAGTTGTAGTTAGAGAAGAGTTTTTATATGCACATAAGTTGTTTGATGAAATGCCTAAGTGAAATCTGCCCTGTCACTGCCGTGACTTTCTAAGTGATTTTTGGGCATGTTACGGATTGAACTGGGCTGAGACCAAAACATAGAAGTTATAGCCCTGTTTCTAAGCTTTGAAACGAGACTAGAACCGTAGTAATCAGAGGTGTATAATGAAAGTTATGGTCTTTTT